TCCACAGATAAAGAAGGTTTCTGAGGCCGAGTTGAGGAGAGTGCAGCAGTATGAAGTGGACGTGACTCTGGATCCTGATACAGTTAATTCATATCTGGTCTTGTCTCATGATAATAAACAGGTTAAATACAAGAATGTATGGATGAATTATCCAGATGTACCACAGAGATTTTCTACAACAGCCTGTGTTTTAGGGAAACAGAAGTTCTCCTCAGGGAGGTCCTACTTCCAGGTTCAGGTCAAAGGAAAGAGCTGGTTTTTAGGAGTGGCCAGAGAATCAGTGGAGAGAAAGGAACAAGTTATTCTTTCACCACAGAGTGGATACTGGACAATTAGACTGGTGGATGATCATTATGATGCTTGTGCTGATTTTGCTCTACCTCTGTCCCTGAGGACCAATCCTGAGACTGTGGGGGTCTTTGTGGATCATGACCAGGGTCTGGTCTCTTTTTATGATGTGGACAGTGCAGACCTGCTCTACTCTTTCACTCACTGCTCTTTCTCTGGGAACATCCTTGTGTTTTTAGCACCACAGTTTAATAATAATCGCAAGAATTCAGCTCCTCTGATACTTACACCTGTCAGCAAGAAATGAAAGAAAACTACACTACTTACTGTAAATTTGTGATTCAACTGGACCAAACAGCACTATATTCTTACTGAGAACAAAGGCAAGGATCAGTCACTGCAGACATATTTTAAGTAAACCTAAATAAAATAGACCTAGGTCATATAGGTTATAGGTTAAAATGAAAAATGTATTAATTGTATCACACTTTGAATGGTTATGGGATGGACTATTTAATCTGTGTACATTGTTTACACTTTAATGAAATCAATTGTTTCTTTTAACAATGACAATAAATTAGTGATTTGTGAATCTTGTGAACAGAAATGTCAGTTTTGTTTCATTCCTCCACTATTGTAACTCGCCTCATATTTAGACTCCAAAATGTTCTGTCATCATCACATATTGACACAGGGACATCGCGCTGGGGGTGTTCTAAATGTACCTCTACGGCCGTTACCATGGTGACACAAGGCAAACACTATCAAAAACGATTTTAGGTTGTCTGAAAACTTGAGAAAAAATACAAAATGGATTTAAACGTCACTTTTTCAGGAGTCTGTGATCAGTTCGAGCGTTCATGGTCGTGTTCCAGTTAAGTCAGTTGTAACCCACACAAGTAAAAGTGCCCATCTCCTGTGACCACACCCACCAATAAGCCCGACACGCCATATTACCCAGAGTGCCTCTCACCACTTCCTGCTCTGATGCTCCTGCTACTGCTCACTGTGGCTGTGTGCTGGTCGTGCTCTGGAGTCGGCGTGCTCCGTGATTGCCGAGATATAAACCTCTACTACTACTGTTTTCTCCTTTTACTTCAACGTATTCAACCCTCCGCTCAGCGGTGAGTTATATTGAAAAAAAATCGCTCGTTCGAATCGTGTATGATCGCCCTGTAGCGCTATTTGGTCGCTCGGTAAATGCTAATGCTAACGCTAGTAGCGGCTAAGCTAGCGGGTGCCGCGAGTAAATATATTTACTCCCGTATTGATTAAATACGGACCAGACTTTAATTTCTGTTGTCGCCGAATTTATGGCCAAACCTTTAAACCTTAAAGGACACCTTAATTTATGTATTTTACACCCGTTTTGGTATTTATTTATTTGTTTGAATGCAATTAATGAATGTAGCTACATGATTTGTTATTGTTGCGCAACTGTTTATATGTCTTGAATGCCTTACTACTACTATTAATGCTATGGTAACCTACAATTGTGAAAGTTTAATACAAAACTGATTGTAATTTGTTTTTTCCTTTTTGACCTTGTGCAGGTCAGGTTTTTTTTTCCCCCTTCTCTTTGGTACAACCACAACTTCAACTCCTCAGCCTGAGTCTGTGATGGCGAGCTGTGACTACCCCACCTTGTGGTAGGAGATCGAACTAGACATACACTTTTTCAGGATCTTATCTTCAAGAAAAACTTTTAAAAACTTTGAACCTTAGTCAATGCGACTACTGGACTAAAACCCCCAAAGACTATATATGATCTCACAGGACTCTTACAAAACTGAAGTTGTTTGTTTGGTTGATTTTGTTTTTGTTTTGTTTGTAATGTTATATCTGTTTATTAATAATACATATATATATCCAAGGTATATATAAGTCTATATTATATTCATATATTCATATAATTATTATTGCCAACTTAAAAAAATATATAATACAATTTATCATATAAACTTTAATTTGTGTCTGCTCTTTCATTCACATACCCTATGGCTCTTCAAAGAATCTTCTTCTGAAACAACTTAATACTGCAGTCAGACCGCCTAGCCAACTACGCGTTACACAGTTCTTTATGGTCAGATTGTGTTCAAACTAAACTCAGATTAAAGTCTAAAATGAGTAACAGAGCTTCAGACAGAGCAGTGCCTACAGTTAGCGTCACAACCCATCAGCAGGAAAGTATCAACACACGACCAGTCACTGTTCTCGTCAGTGTTTTTCTTTGTTTACTCCTCTCTACATTATAAATACACACTGATATCAAACATGTGAAGCAAATATGAAATGATGGAACAAAGAAAAGTGTTAAATAAATCTAAATATGTTTTATATTTTAGATTCAAATCCTCACAGTGTCCTCCCTTTGCTTTGTCGACAGCGCTGCAAACCCTCGGCCTTCTCTCAATGAGCTTCGTGATGACGTCTCCTGAAATGGTTTTCACTTCCCCGCTGTGCCGTGTCAGGCAGGACATGTTCCAGGATATGGCATTAAATTGATCTGTCATCTCCCTGGAATAGTTAGAATAATAATACTTTTTAAATATTTGTTACTTAAATACTAATAATACTAATACTGCACTAATCGCCCTAAAAATACCTGCATAAATAATTACTGTGGTTTTACCAGAACTTTACTGCTACTGCGAGTACTAACAGCATTTTACTGCAATATGACTACTTCAAATATTCACTGATACTCCTGATATTTTAAATTACTACTTGTGTGTTTTACTATGATTTTTATTTATTTTTTTTACTACTGCTGCTCTAGGCCTACTACTCCTGCTGTTACTAATAGTACTACGTGTACTACTGCTAGTAATACTACTACTACTGTACTGCTACTACTACTACTAGTAATATGACTACTCAACTAATACTACTACAACTACTACTATAATACTACTACACTACAACTACTACTACTACTGCTACTACACTACTACTACGACTACTACTACTACTACTACTATTACTACTGCTGCTGCTACTACTACTATTACTACTGCTGCTACTACTACTACTATTACTACTGCTGCTACTACTACTACTATTACTACTGCTGCTACTACTACTACTATTACTACTGCTGCTACTACTACTACTATTACTACTGCTGCTACTACTACTACTATTACTACTGCTGCTACTACTACTACTATTACTACTGCTGCTACTACTACTACTACTACTACTGCTACTACTAGTACACTAACAATACGAATACTACTTCTAATACCACTACTAGTACTACTCTGCTACTACCACTACTACACTTATACTAATAGCCATATTATTACTCTACTACTACTACTACAAATACTGGTACTACTACTCTTAAAGGCAGTTGTGTGGAGTGTGGAGACAGAAGACATGTACTCAGTCTGTGTGAGAAAGAAAGATTTGTGGATTTAGATCAGAGGTTGGTAGAGTGGACAAAAATGTACTCAAGTAAGAGTAAAGTTACTTCAAAATAATATTAATGAAGTAGAAGTACACAGTAGTGGTCCAAGTAAGAGTAACTTAAACCTAAATCATATTTGGAGGAGCTGCAGAAACACAAATGTTCAAATCATTTCATTTTGTCAACATAAAGATTTTGTCACTTTAGACTTTAGACTCACAGTGAAGAGGAACCAACACTTAACTCAAGTAAGATACTGTTACACCTACAAATATATTACTCAAGTAGGAGTAAAAGTATGCTGCTGAAAAAGTACAATTTCTTTAAAAAGTAGCTCAAGTAAATGTACCTGAGTGCAACACACCTCTGATTTAGACAGACAGTGTGGACAGAGTAACAAGGATGAGCTCGTAAAGTCATATAAGTGATGTTAAAATTAGTGCTGTCAGGCGATTAAAAAAATTGAGAGATTAATTAATTATGATCTGTAATTAATTAATCTAATTAATCTCTTTTTAATCTCACCTAAAAATTGCTGAGAAAAGCTTCAACTTGAGGTATTTTCATTTAAATTCATTATTACATTATTATTATTTCATATAAACCATGAACACTCTAGAGCCACATCAGCTCGTTTGAAATTATAATGTGTTCAATGCTGATTTGCGCAAGTCTCACAGAAACGAAACTTAAAAACCGCATGGCTCATTTGCATAAACTAAGGGAGAAAAAAAAAAAAGCTCTTGTGTCGCTGATGCGGTTCAGCTTCTGTGGGACTGAAGGACACGACTCAGTGGAATATGAGTGTTCTTTCTGTGACAGAGTGTTGAAGGTGAAAGTGAGTCTGTTCTGTGTTTGTGTCGTGATGTTTTCAGAGATCAGACGTGTGCAGTTTTATCGCAGATGCGGCGAGAACGAGAAAAGAAAATCACAATTGTTTGCGGATGCGATGTGTTATTGTCCCAACAACACATAAAAAACAGATTTTATAATAAGGCAACTCGCGTACAGAAACGGTAA